AGAGTTCTAATTATCGCGAGGTGCTTGCTCTTTTATCGGAGACCGGGGCTTTGGGGTTAAACCATTGTTTGAGACTTTCTTTCTCCCGCTTCTGCCTTCGCGTTCTCCTCTTCAAGCGCCATCCTCGACTAATACTTGAGCCTGGGGTTATTCGAGTCGGTAAATTAAAGTCAGGAGCCAATGACATCTGATGGAAACAAAAACTCTACCTCTGTTCTATATGGACGCATACCGGACGCTAGTCATCCACAATGTGTACTTTGGATGGGGAAAATCAAAACAACGTGACTGAAATGTATGTTTTTCCCTACCACCTGTCTACCTACTAACCTGAGGATGGAGTCTGCCCATGCCATGCCATGCCTCATCTCCCGTTTCCCGCCGCAATGTGTATGCGCTGTGCTCCCTTGTACCCCCTGTTGCGTATATCCATCATATGAGTCCTATTGGCCGGAGGATGGCTCATTTGGAAAGTCCTGCAACCGCATCCGTACAATGTGTGTGAAGACTACCTACATGTAGGGCAGGGCCTGGGTTTCTTCCAATACTGTCCCCGGTCTGGCGGCATGACGGATGGGTTCCCATCCGTTCCTTTTCTCATCTGCATCACTCACTCCACGGCCCGAAATGACCTCTACCTCTAGGCCTTCCCCTTTGGGGTCCTACCACCACCTGACCACGTCTGTCATGCATCAGAGCAACCCATGGTCAACCCGTGGTGAGATGTTGTGCTGTAGTTTTCGATGTGAAAAAGACTACAGCAGCACCCAGATAATTCCTGTCATTTCCAGAACGTCTATCAATATGATAGCTCCAAAACTAGAAGGGACCTGCTCTATTCTTCCCGTGTGGCTGTGCTGAACCCTTCGGATTCTCAATATTCATCCTGGTCTTGGTACTACCTTACCTATGGTTCATCTCTTGTCCAGGCGCGCTTGTGTGCATCTAGCAGAGGTTCCGGAGTAGTCCCTAGATCATTTAATTGGTCTTAGCGACGCGAGGGTTTAGAGCTTATCCATCCTCTGAAGAAAGTCACCTAGTCGTCACAATCGAACCATTGCCCTCATACCGCTTGTCCTGATCCAGCTTGGTGCAGACGTTGGGAATGCCATTTGCAAAAGCCATGCGCTGCAATTGTAGCGGCCGCCGAAGTCCCTCCCTAGTCTAAGTCTTTGGTGGCCGTTACCGTACTTTCGATTAAAGATCTTCACCACTCACTCCAGATTGAGAATAGACACGTGGGTGATTTGCATGTGTGTTCTTCGGGTCTAGGTTCTGTTGGGTCCCCGCACGTCCAATCCGTTATTTGGGTTTGACGACAGACAGCTTCACAGCCACAGTTGGAGGCGATACCATGACGACGCCACAGGGCTCGATCCCCAATCCTCGGCATATTATTGCCCAACTGCATGTTCTGGGCCGATTCCATCTGTGCCGATCAATATTTGACTGCCTTATCTTGTTGATCACTGCCTGAGATTTCAGCTGCTCAGGCATGGGCGTGACTGGCAGGTGTGGCTCTGAGAGTTGTTGTGGCGTAATGAACGTGGCTTGACGCGTGGTTGTCGCCTCCCCCAGTGGGTAGTTTATTAATGAATAAGAAAAACTATTTTCTTTGGATCGCCGACTTTTTATCATGGCATCTCGGCACTTTTACTTGTAGACCTTTTTCATGGCGTTTGTGTGGAAGGTGGTGGCCAAACTTTTTGGTTTGCTTGGGAATTGATGACAGGGACAGTGCTCTAACCGTCACTGACCTAAATTTCTCTTATGGTGGTGTCGACAGCGCGTGTCATCTCAGAGGTGAGGCTTCATTTCGTGCAACTCTTGAGTTTGAGAGGTTGCAGCCCTGTAATGGATCGAGAGGTAATATCAGGCGCCCTCAAAGTTTCTTACTATAATGTTGATAAGAACCTGGTATAAAATGGCATGCCCAATCCTTGGAGAGCATAAGATTTCTTGGTATATTTTCCAATATTGTCCGAACTCTCAGCTCAGCGAAACAGATCAAGCAAATATATTTATCCTTTCAACCAGCACAAACAGAACCTGGCTTTAGCAGTAGGTATTATCTTCTAGTATAGGAAAAGTCTCATGGCAACTGACCTCGTTCCCAGTAGCGGGCTATCCTCTTCTCTTAACGCCAGAGATGAGGTTACTATATGGTGTCTATCTGCTTCTGTCTGTCGCGTATGCGGCTGATGTAAGAATTCATTTTATTCACCATAGAGAGACAAATGCATCTTCTCTTATTGCATATAGCACTAGTGGGGACTTGATCACAAGGATCTGTGGGACAACGATTAAAGCTAAAGAATCCGTCGACTTCTCCAACATTAACGAAAATGGTGTTGGGAATTTCACAGTTGGTAGTACCAGCTTCTTTGTTCACTCCGATCCCAAGTATTCTGGAGGCCCTTCATGTTCTACAGATTTCGATCATGCCTATACTGCCATACAGTGCTCAGGTGTAAAATGGGATCTTGAGGGGGTTGTTAAACAGGATCCGAAGTCATGTTTCTTTGGAAATCTAGCGGGAGGGGGCTTTGAAGAGTGCCAAACTGACACCCGATACCACAAGTTGCATCGCCGTTGCGGTGAACGGGAACCAAGGCTTGACGGCGACGGTCGGTATCATCCTTTCGAGTAAACTACCTAGGCTCGGCCTTGCTAATATACACTTCAAGGCTGGCCCCACCAGAGATACTACTATCAACAGCTTTCAGTAAGTCGTTTACTCCCCTCTGTACCCTACAGGTTCTTGTACATCTTTATATTGCTACTAAATATCTGTAGGAAGTTGGACATTGCAGCAAAACCCAGGGCTGCTCTGTTACTTCATCCAACACGGAGAGTATCAGCAAGGGTTGGAGTGCGACTGCCAACCTTCCGATTTGGATCTCGGGAGGCTACTCTGTATCAAAGTCCTGGGGCACTGGGGCTGCATATGGCTGCAATGGCGGCGCGGGAGACCAAGTCTGTGTCTGGTACAGGGTTGCGCACACTGCCTGTAAGTCACAGCCTTATCTAAATGGCATTGATAGAGTGGTTAAGAAACGATACAGATACAGTTCGGGAGCCCAGGGGACTTAGCAAGAAGGATATGCATGGCCCACAAATTGTTATCGCTTCCCCAAACAAGAACAATGAAGGCGGGGGCTTTCAGTGTGCGACTGGAAAGAATTGCGTGCATAAGGGCGCCATGTATTGGGACTGCCATGGGAAAAGGTCTAAGAAGTTTACCCACTGTGGACCTCCAGAGCAACCAGAGTTGGACCCCAAGAACAACTTCATAAGACCCTATGCGAAAGAGAAGACGAAGACCACGAAGGTAGAGAAGGAGGCGTATGATATGGATTAGAGATTATTTCATGATAAATGAGCAAGAATCATGGGGGCACACATACGGAATCCTGCAACTGGCTCCGACATGCATGGCTGGAACAAATACTATGTTCTAGCAAGATCAGGCTCCTTGTTCCCTTAAGCTACTATACTACACGTCCTGCCACAACAAGTTGCCTGGTATAGCTATTGCCGTTTAATCTACAAGTATTAATCTCATATATTTGTTTCGTGGCCATAAGTTACCTTATCTTGCTTGTCCCGGGGTGCATAACTAGCTGGCAATTCTAGCATACACGCACCAACCGTTCGAACAGCTGACCCTTGGCAGGCATAGGTAGGCAAGCGATCTTGGAGGACCACGATATCCCAAGACCGAACTCCTACCTGGCTATGGCTTATGCCACTATCAAAATGCCTGTTTCTTCTATGTTGCCAAGCATAAATAACATCCAGTAACTATATATTCGATCGATTTGACAAGCTGTGGTCGGTTTAAACTTGAAGTAAGTACCTAGGTACGGAATGTCCAAGCTTCTAACTCTTTGTTTTCTAACGCTTCCGAAACAGTCTCTCCTCAAATCTTTCTACTAGATACCCAGTACCTTCAGCAGAGTCAAGCTGGTGGTCCAGTCAATTGGATAACTAGTAAAGCATACGACTCTAGCTCTCCCTTTGGTTTTGCTTGTTTGGAGCTCCCTTATTCCAGGTTGAGAGTGTTTGATCTGGTCTCATTGAAATTATGTCTAGCGTTCATTAATAAACGCCGTTGGTGCTTTACTTTTACCAGGGTTACCCTGTCAAGTCCCATCTGGTGCCATCTCGGAACACATCCTAATCCCAGTCAAGTCCATCCAACAATTGCATGTTCCGACTTGGGTGTGCAGCCGAAGATGCAGGACCATGCCACTACTGGGCTTGAGAACGGAAATATGCATCGAGCCAGCTTTGCATCCAACTCCCCAGTCTATGCCTTTTTACAGTCATCAATGACAACGGTGCAGCCCTTCATCTGGGCTTAATCTCGGCAAACTGTTTATGGGTCACGTCCGGCAAGATCTTGCCCGGATCACAACGTTCACTAGCAGAATCGAAGGATATGGTATCGGGCGTACTTGTTGGTTACGTCAATATAATCGCCAAAGGACAATCTCTCTGCTCTATGTCCTCGCCGTTTACATTTCAAATTTTGGGCGATACCGTCAAGATATCCAATATCAAGCAAGACATTAGGGCTTATACAATATTCTCAGTCCGAATCGACTGGAGATTGACGCTCCTTCTAGCCCTGACAAGGCCATCGTTGCCCTGTGGCCATGAACGTGTGGCTGGTAGCTAGGTCGTAAACGGACAGCTACCATGCGGCAGGTATCTTGGTGTGAACACCACACAATTTTCGGGCGAGTTGCGTACCCCATGTATCGTTTCCTTCCCCTCACACCCTTCCTCACAGATCAATCTCTTCTGGGGGGTTGTTGATTGACGAACAATCTCTTCAAATTCCAGGTTCGACCACCTTTCGAGGATAGTGTACTGTATTGTTTGTCATGGCTCACAATGCCTTTCCGTGCTCGGCTAACCCTTTTTTGAGATGTTATGTGTTAGTTCACCACACGCTTGGGCAGATTAACAAAGAGCCGTTCATATCGATCAATTCAGATGTCATCTTTCTCAGATGTCAACCCCACAAATGAAAGCTGGCTCGTGATATCTTGCAGGCCCTTCAAGTGGGCAGTGTACGAGAGATGCATTGATCCAATACCGGTACCGCACACCAAGTTGCCTGGAAGTGCCGTACAATGAATGAATGTAATGCCGAAGCTGAAGAAAAGAAGCTGGAACTTGATACCGGTTTCCGTGCAAGGGCATTCAGGACCTTGGAGTGAGACGAGACGCCTGATTAACTTCCGGAACATTAGCGTTCATCAGAGCGGAGATGTCGCCAAACTTGTCCCATTTCGCCCTACAGGGGGACTAGGGTTTTGTCCGTCCATCACAAGAGATGGATGGGCCCAGCCACAATGCAACAGCCATGGCCATGATGTCATTGTTGCTGTCCAAGATCCTTCCACGTCAGTCAACCCACGAGGCTGAAACCGTTATCGAAGCCTCTAAGGAGCAAGACATGGCGTAGTAATGGCAAGGGACTTGGTAAAATACTACTCACGGTCCAAACATGGGACAGAACAGGTTAGAGTTGTCAACGTGGCACCCTCTTTCGCCAATCAGACTGGGACGCTAGGTATCATCTTTCGAGTCCACTGATGATGCCCCCGCATGATGACTGAGGGAACTTAAGCATCACGAACAGCAAGCTCTTTAGAGGCGTTGACGTCATCGAAAGATTTTGCTGGTCTCCCCACTACCTAAACAATTCAATTTTATACCACTCGGTCGAACGTTCGATCGAATTTCAAACTCCTCCCTCATGATCGTCCCGTTGTTCCCCGATCGAACATTTTTAGCACTCCATTGGTGGAAGTTTACTATCACCTGTGAGAAATCAGATGGAAAACAGTACTGCCTAGCATCCATATGATCAGGGTCCTGATTATCAGAACTGCATATGTATAGCCGCGAATACTGGACCCATACCTGCGGCATGATTATTATCTTGAGCCTTGTCACACGAATGTGTGAAGGGTACGGAGTAATCAAAACGATTTCTGTTGATTTACTAGGGTGAGCTTCCACCGGTAACACCCAATTTGGGAACGAGCCCTACCTTAATCCACCTGTTATACATACAGTACCCTGTTTCCGTATACTGGGGTCGATGCGACCCTGTGGTCAGCCTCCAGCATCGGCGAACCCCTACTTTGAATAACCGCAACTTTATTCGCTTTGCTTTGTGGGATCGGAGCCAGATCTTGACGATTCGGTTTTCAGGGGAGGGTGCATTTCAGGAGGCCCAACTGTTCAAGATACTTTCCTGTCTAGGGGTTTCTTGAACAATGGTTTTGCGCATCAAACGCTGGCTTCTTGGAGCGTAGTTCGGGTAAAATCGATTCATTCGAATACTTTCACATTACCAGGCAAGCTGGCGCTCTTCGTCGTGGTGCTCCCTCAACTACGATCTCCATCAACTGAGCATGCCTATCATTAAGCGGCTGATGCCGTACACTACACTACACTACACTACAGTCAAGCCACCACCACACCCCTCTCCCTTGCTGAGGGCCACTGTACTGGGTACTTTCAAGCGTGTTCAATCTCATCACCGGCAGTTCGAATGTATCATCAATATCGTCATCTTTCCGCACTCGGCTACCAGTTCGTGTTGCAAGCGAGTGTTATCTTTAGGACCTCAACTTCAACTTGTGAGAAAACTTCGTTTTGTTTTTTTCCAAGGATGATGAATCAGGGTCCTCTTCCAGAAGCCTTCCGTATCACAGGGCTTAAAACTTTGACTGGAACTGCCATACCTAACGGGGACACGATCAGGTTGATCACTACATCATCGCACGTCCTACCCATGCGCATCTGCCCTCCTTGAAGGTTTTTTTTTTTTTTGGAGATTCCTGCCCCCCTTCTCCACGCTTCCTGTACCTGAATTGGTGTCTTCCGTCGTGACCGTAAAGTCTTGATGGTGAAGGGAGCTGATCGTTGCTTGGACAGTACGTCCGCTCCGGCAATCTCAATGGCGCGTTGCTGGTGAGAGACAGGCCAAGATGCCCAAAATAAGAAACCCATTTACTCTCTATTTTTGGAAATGCTATTTTCATCCCAACAGCGACGATCTCGGTTGGATATGCACATGGGTATTTGAACTCCAAGGGTTGTTGGGGACGGTGGTGGTGGTGAGTTTGGTGATAGTTGCATGCAAATGTCGATGATGTTGATGCGTCCTTTGTCGAGTCATGATCACCGCCATTCTGCTATCAAAGGGGATGATTTGCGCTGAATAACTGAATCGTGTCGTGTCATTTACTGGGATATGACTCGTGTGCTTTTGCCATCATGTTCCTCTTACATTACAGCTACAAGTCGTCTCGTAGCTGCGCTGGTAATCCGCATCATCTAGGTCACAATAGATTGCATTCCAGGTCAAGGTCAGAATGTTCCTCATCTTCTGGACAGCGTTTCTAGAGAATAGTGGCTTTGAAAGCAAGGATAAGTAAAGCACAACAACAGGGGTAGATACGTGTGGCCCTCCACATCAGAAGGTATACATCTGCTCTCCATCACTGACCAAACGGAATGAATAGGGAACGTTGGATAAGGAACCTAAGAACATAACATATGTGCTTGTAGGACTTCTCCGTGCCGGGTAGATATCACGGGCAAACAAAACAAAACAAAACAAAACCTTTAATCAATCGGTCGTGACAACTGGAGAATTTGGACTAGGCAATATAGGGTAGACAAGCATCCACCAGCACCCAGATACATGTATTGATTATGTAGAAATCCTGCGTATCAAAGATGCCACAACTGTAGCGCTACGTTGGTGCAGGGCTTGTTGAGCCGGAGAAAACTCCAGATTGAGGTCAGTTCCATTTAGCTTACGGTTGAGCAAAGACTAAGCCGGTGGACTATCTTATAAATCAGTTATAATATGACAATTAAGTCAAGGTTGAGGTTATTCCATGACACTCCTCAGGGAAGGGGAAGGTATCATAACGCTCCATATTATGGTTACTAATTTTAACCAAGGTATCTCATACCACTGGAGACTTTGATGAACTGTATGTATACGGTTACTCAAGAAGTGTGCCCAGACAGCCCATGCAATTTCTGATCTTAGACGCACATGCCTAAGTCAGCCGTAAGGTAGGATAGGGACGTTCATACAAGAATCTTGTTAGACGAAAAGGGAAGGCTTGATAGAATTAAGTGTAGTCTAGGAGTTGGAGGACTATCTATGATAGCCTCGAAGATGATGGCCTCTATGGGCATCATCAGTTTGTTCTTACTGCCTAGATAGGCTGTATAGATATTAGGTAGCAAGGCAAACAGCAAAAAGCCCAAACATAGGTATAGGCAAACCTAAGTAACAAGTCTGGATGAAGGCGATGTGTAAACATGACACACCCAGTTCTTACGATTACTGGCGACAGTCTAGACTCTGACTGAAAACATATAAATAGGTAGCAAGGTGTCTTATGTTATACTATGTTTATAAGAAACCATGTCCCTTTGTTTATTTTGTACTCCGTGACCTTTACAGATAGAAGGACGCAAAACCATCTATTCCTCATCGCTGTCATCCTCCTCCTCGGCGTTCTCCAGCCACTCCACCAACACGCGGCACTTTTCCTTCAGCAATGCCATGGTCTCATCTTCAACGGCACGCTCATTCCCCCACCAACTCAGAATACCCTCCTCCTCAAGGATATCGAGCGCATACAGCTGCTGTAGCATTGCGGCGAGGAGAGTGCCAACACGGGGCTGCTCGGGTCCTTGGGAGCGCGTGAGAGCCTTCTGGAGCGCGATGATAAACTCGACTTGCTCGGCCTCATTATCATCATCGCCGCCAATTCCGACCTCATTGATGAACTTTGTTGCACCTTTGCGAGCCCTTAGTGCTTGTTCAGCAGCCTTGCTGGGTTCGAGATTGCCGTGCTCAGGGGTCATAAGCTCGACTGCGCGACGGGCAAATGCGGTGGCCACGGCTCGGCGCATCATAGCGTCCGAGGCATCGTTAGAGAGACGCAAGCCCATGAACTCAAGCTTGGCCGAATCGAAATCACCGGACTCGGCACGAAGAGCGTCGACCAGACCGTGTACGGCCTCGCTATGGAATGAGAGTTTGTCGCCAGCATCGTCGGAGGCGAAGGACGTGCGGCGGGAGGGGTCGGTGGTGTCGACGTGCAGGGAATTCTCATCCGGAATTTCTTCAGAGATTTCGGAAGACAGTGTCGACACCGATGAGGTGGAGATGTTGAACTGGGAAAGGTTGTACATGAGACTCTTCTGAAGCCGGCAGGGGTCTCTCTCGTCAACCTCATCATCCTCAGGGTCCTTGAATGCTGCGGCATTGGTACCAGAGCCAAGCAGCTCGGAATCCGGCGTTAAGGGATTGCCCTCGGAATCGACGCATGAAATGACAGTATCTTTAGGTAGTCTTATGCTCTTGCCAATGTTGACACCAAAGGAAATGAGGCTGCCTTCTGCTATAGTTGAGTTCTCTCCAATAGTGGCCGAATCTGCCACGATAGATCGGTATATTCTCGCGTCGTCCCCGACTGTGGTGTCGTCCCAGATGTAACAGTCCTTCAATATGACATTGTTACCGATCTTGCAGTCTCGCCCAATTATGCTGTTGGAGATTTTACTTCCTGGGCCAATCATGCTGTCACGTCCGATGACCGAGTTCTGGACTTCGGACGTATTAGCATAGAATGCACCGTGCTCGACCACAACCGCAGGTCTGTGACGCTGGTAAGCCTGCTTAGGAACAATATTGCACTCTGGAATGAAGGGATAAGTCCATCGGCCTAGAATGTCACGACTGATGGCGTCGTACTGCTGTAGATTGCTTGCTCGGGCTGCGTAACCTTCCTCACAAATCTCGGTATAGATCATCTTGCCATTCAGCTCCCAATCCTTGAGCACGCCGTGAAGGAAATTTCTCCTGGGAAGCTCGTAGTCGAAGCTTTCCGACCAAAGCGCAAGTACCTCGGGTGTACAAATGTCGATCTGAGCATCGATGAGGTCGGATCGAATCTCGAATTCGGTTGATAGCTCATCCACGACAGCTGGATCTAATGACATGTATCGATCGCTTACCAAGGGGTTCATCTCATCGTAGTGAAGACATCGTTGAGTCTTTGTGTCGACCACAAAAATGGGCGTGATTCCATTTGTCTTTGTTCGGTGATCATCCTCTCCACCACTGCGCAACACCATTGTCATGATGTTGGCTGCGCTGTCTTGCCTCCGTTTTCGGTGCGCCGCCAAAGCGCCATCAAGCATTATGTTGGACACGAGGTCGCCATGCACGAGGATAAAATCGCCATCGACAAGAGACCTCTTGTCCATATCGCGTAGGACATCGCCGGCTGATCGTGCATCGGAGACTCGGACAAATTGTAGAACTGAAAAG